TTCAAGTGCGTCATCGGCACACTTTAAGTGCGCTAATGACGCACTTGAAGTGTGCCGATGATACACTTTTAGAAGTGGCACACAAAAAAGCGTCCAAAAATGCTACCGCAGTGTGCCGAAAGCACACTAGAAATGTGTCAATGGCACGCTAAAAGCATGCTAGCAGCACATAAAAAAGCATACTAGCAGCACATAAAAAGCATACTTTGGCACACTTTTTCCATGCCATTGGCACAATTTAAGTGTGCTTTTTCTAAAAGTATGCTTTTCCGGGACAGTGTGTTTATATAAGTGATTTAATTTTTTTTGTTTTTCTGTCGTACATCATTCAATCGATGCTTGATAGATGATTGCTTGAACTGTTGGTCAAGTCATTCAGTGAACTCGTCGTCTCTCTCTATTTGTCACATCGATCGGTTCACTGCTGATTATCGTCAGTCAATTTTCCAATATCAATTTATTGTTGCGATGATCGACCAACTTACACAAGCGAGAGAGAGAATGTTCTTACTCAAAAAGACAATGCACCAATATTCATCTGATTGATACCGTCAATAACGTGCGTTTCAAGGATGTAGTCAAAAGATGAGACAAGCACACGACTAGTTCCATTGCTGATTCGAACGAAGAATGTATCATCAGTTCTGAAAGATGAAACATTTAAATCGATCTCCTCTAGATCTCGATCACGAAAGATCTAGAAATAATCACAATCATCGGGCTGAGGCCTATTCAAGAACAAAGTACTTTATTGAAAATTTCTTTATTACTTTATTGAAGAGTTTCTATCACAATAAATACACTACACCGTGAACACATTCTCATCCAATGCATTGAACTCATCCAAGCATTGAACGCATCCAATGCATTGTAAGTCATCGAGCAGTTTCTCATGATTAATCAGCGTTTGCAGCTCATTGACCATCTCATCGCTTCTACTCAAACGACACAACGAGTCAAGGCGGTAACTGTTCTTGGTGTTTTTCGACAACAGAAATCGTGTATTCAATATGTTAAAATAAATTGATCAATTAAATATAAACGATTTAAAAGAGGTATAGCCTCATTAAATTTTGATGACATGATATTCTTTAATAATAAATTTGTGTCTATATGAGAATTATGATAAAAATGGAAACATACTAACGAGGGAACATATGTAAGTGTCCCCTCGCTTTTTGAACGAAACCTAGTGGGTTATAGGTTATCAATGATGCTGATTCCGAATATGAATATGAGAGCTGCCCTTAGGGCTTCGAAGACCCGGTTTCCTGGAAAACCAGTTTTTCAGAAACTTTGAAAAATACCCAAAGCTTTTCTTAATAAGCCATGCTTGTAGCCCGCACATTTCTGATTAAAATGAGACCTCTCCCAGCTCTACATGACCTTTCTTTGCAAAGTTATAGAATTTACACGAAGAGCCCTAAATTAATTTCTTCTTATTTCTGTAGCTTCGAGTTGACAATGAATATTTAGGGCTTTTCTTGTAAGACATTTTCAAGACATTTTCATACAAGCTCGCAGACGAAATCTCAGAATGGATTTGGATTACATACCTGACATGTTCAATCAAGCACTGATTATCCTCGAAGATAAAGTTCTGGAGATGGCTGGCAAAGATCTCAAGCAACTAGGCCTTCTCGCTCCTCAAAGAAATCTCGGTGATCGAATGAGCAGAGAAATGTTCAGAGAAACAAGCTACGGTGTGAACGAGTTGGATAAATATGTGTCAGCAACTGAGCCATTACTGGTGATAGACCAGAGAGCTGCCTACAATACCATATTAGACCTGGTGAATAGGAAAATCGGTGGAATACTTTTTCTTGATGCACCAGGTGGAACAGGAAGAACATTTGTCATCAACTTACTCCTAGCTAAAATTCGACAGCAATCGAAAATCGCAATTGCAGTGGCCTCTTCGGGAATCGCTGCCACATTGCTTCATGGTGGTCGTACTGCTCACTCAACACTCAAGCTGCCTCTTAATCTTTCACATTGTGAAAGTCCTCTCTGCAACATCAGCAAAGGAATACGAGAAGCCAAGGTTCTGCAAGAGTGTGAACTTATTGTGTGGGACGAGTGTACAATGTCACACAGACAGGCATTAGAGGCTTTGGATCGAACTCTTCAAGATCTTCGCGGCAATGGGAAATTTATAGGTGGAGTTGTTGTGCTCCTAGCAGGTGATTTTCGTCAAACGCTGCCTGTTATTCCAAAGGGAACAATGGCTGATGAACTTAAAGCTTGCTTGAAAGCTTCATATCTCTGGAGACATGTTCTCAAACTGGGACTCAAAACCAACATGCGAGTTCACTTGTAAGGTGATATATCTGCTGGCCATTTCGCTCAGCAATTGCTCACTCTTGGAGATGGAAAAGTACCAGTTGACCCGACCAATGGACTTATAAGCATTCCAAATAACTTTTGCAATATACTACAGACAATCGAAGTACTGAAAACCAGTGTGTTTCCAAATATCCGGTGCCATTTCAACGATCACAAATGGCTTTGTGAACGTGCCATTCTTGCTCCTAAAAACAACAGCGTGAATGCCATCAACTTACAGATTCAACAACAGCTGTCCGGAGAAGCTACATCGTACAAGTCGGTCGACACAGTTGTGGATGTCAACGAGGCGGTTCAGTATCCCACTGAATTTCTCAATTCTCTCGAGCCATCACATAACTTGCTGCTCAAAATTGGTTCTCCCATTATGCATCCTGAGAAATCTGGATGCACCAAGACTATGCAATGGCACCAGACTATGTATAAAAAGTCTGATGCCTCATGTTATTGAAGCAACAATCTTAACAGGCTGCGCGAAGGGTGAGGATGTATTCATACCACGAATACCCATCATTCCTACTGACATGCCCTTTGAATTCAAGCGTCTGCAGTTTCCAGTACGTCTTGCCTTCGCGATGTCTATCAACAAAGCTCAAGGACAATCACTTAAGGTTGCTGGTATTAATCTAGAAACTCCTTGCTTTTCTCATGGCCAACTTTACGTGGCGTGTTCAAGAGTCGGAACTGGGAAGAATTTGTATATTTTTGCCCCCGATGCGAAAACCAGGAACATTGTGTATCAAACAGCTTTGCAATAAAAATTGTATTTCATTGGATACAGTCATTTTTTAATAAAAGAAGTCGATCAAAGAAGAATAACATCGAAAAGGATAAAAATGTTTTTAAAAAGTTTAAAATGACGAAAACAAAAAAGTTCAAGAGGGAAAGTGATCCGAGCGCATTTTGCGATATCGAAGTCCCATAACTGATAGGAGACCATAACGATGTCTTTTTCTAATATGTCAAGTACGTAATATCAAATTTTCCCGAGCAATGCCGGGTACTTCAGCTAGTTGACTTATATATGATGGTCTGTAGTTTGTTTTACTATTAACATATAATGATGTTGGTGATTGAATAGAATATATTTTATTTTTATTTTTATACTTACATTTGTTTAATATCCCGAAACCTAATAAATTAATTTCGATACATTCTGGTTTTAAACTTAATTTTTTAATACTATTATTATATGGTGACCATCGATCTGTATAATTTTTAACTAATTGTTTAGATACAAAACGAAAAAATTTCAGTGTTAAATAAGAATCATTTGCATTAAATGTTCTTGTTTCTAATCTATCATAAACAGAATCTAATAATGTTAATAATGATTGTAACGATTGTCTTTCATATATTAAATTCAACTTTTTTTCCATAATACTTAATCTTGTTTCAAAACAACTAAATTGATTCCAAAGATTCGTTATTGCTGATATTATATATTTTTCAGATGATGAAAATAATGTTGTATCAATCTTTTCTAATATACCTTTATCAGTAGTAATATTTGTAATATTATTATTAATAAAAACAATACTTCCATTAATATTAAATTGATTGTTATCCTTTTCATTCTTATTATTACTGGTTGTTTCTTGTTCGTTTATATCATCCTCTAACTCATCCGTAAATGATATTACTGCATCGTCAAGCTTAACAACATGATATCATCGAATGTAGGTCGATTTGAATCATCATCATCACATTTAAATATTGTTTTATCATAATTTATTTGACTATTTTTACGATCTTGTTGTCCGTCAATATCAGATAAATTAGGATTAATTATAGGTTTAGAATAATCTAATATATCTGATGCTTCTTGTTGTTTTATGAAAATATTTTGTTGTTGTTCATTTTTATTATTTGAAACCGATAATAAATTATTTGTCCGATAATTTTCAGCTACATCAATTTTATTTTTAATATTATTTTCATCACATTTTAATAACATAAGCGTTTCAAATGTTTCATCACTTTTTGATAAAGTGTCTAAATCATATAAATCGTATTTATTTGAAATATTATTAATACAATCATAAAATAAAAAGCGTCCTGTTTCACAATCTAATATAATTGTATTATATTTATTTTGATTCATAATTCTTTTTAAACTCTCAAGGTTAAGATCTTTGAGAATAAGTTTCTTTCCATCTTTTAATAATGAAACGTTTTTGAAAAAAACCATCTAAAAGGAAAAAAGATTTTATATTAAACACATTTAGACTTGCCAGTAGTATACTATTGCCAAATTCGATATAGATTCAGTTTCTGTTGTTTCAAAAAATTTAAGTTTTTGAACATTATATATGTTTGTCATGAGCTGGTTGATAAAAAGTTCTCGTTTCCATGCAAAAAAATTCAGTTATCATCCGGCAATTCATCAACATGCAGACTAAAAAAACGGAAAGAATGCATCCGTACTGACTACCAAACTGCTTGCTGTACAGAAGTGTAATCTCTTTCGAAAGGGGACTGTAAGAACTATCTCTCTCTGATTGGTATGATGTTCATGTGTATATTCGATGATCAGAACGTGATGGTACATCGAAGAGTGAAATGGCGCAGAAAAGAACGACGAAGACAGACAGAGCGAGAGAGAAACGACGCTGCCATGACATGTTCACCTGTCCATACGAACTAGAATCCGTTGTATACGAATGTATATATAGAGAGCGAGGAGACATAAGAGAGTAGGGATGTATCAAATAAGATATCTTTCCTTTTCTTTCACTTCTGGGCAAATGTGTGCGTATGCGTCGATTCTACAGAACGGAGAACCATGTACCGTCCTTAAACTATGAGATCTCAACTTATATTCGTTTTGCTCACATTAAATATCGTATTTAATAAGAACATTTCGACTGTTCAGTGCTTTTATTTAGAACACTCCCGTATCGATGAACAGTTCTGTGACAAAATATACTTGAAAATGTCTGAGTTGTACCAACTCGTGATAATTCTTTTACAAAGATACAAAGTTTTTCTATACTTTCGCCTTATACCAGATTCTGTTGATTTTTGACAGCAGTTTCTTAGCCTCAAATCTCATTTTTCATAGACGACAAGTCGAATTTCGCTGTTTTCGGTAATTTCTGACTTAGTCAGAAGTTTTAGTCCCTATGAAACATCGAACAAGCAACAGATGAAATGTTCTTATTAATTAAATACGGTATTTAATGCGAGCAAAAAGAATATAAGTTTTTTTGTTTTTGTTTATATCTTTATTGATTCTTTTAAAATAAGGCCTGCGAAAAAATCATTATAGGCCTAGTTTTAGACAATACTGAAGTATGTAGTAAGTAAAGAAAAATACAAGTTAATGACATGTTGAACAACAGAAAAAAGAACATAGAAGTAAAATGAAGATGGGAGGTAATAGTGGCCCAGGTCAGACAGAATGGTGATGACTGACAGTTGTTTTGAAAATAGGTGAAACAATAACAAAAGTGCAGCTAGTTTTCAAATCTCTTCGTTCCACTTATATAGAAGTTGACCGCATTAAAAACAGTACACTGTGTGTCCTCTTCCATCTGTAAATTATTCAGTAATTTCATTTAAAAATTTCAACTTCTGTTTTAATAGATTTCTTTGAGAATTATACAGTGAACAGTTGAAAAAATAATGTGCATTCTTTCACCTCCACAAAATAATATAGAATATAAGTTTGAGCTGTCATAGTTCAAAAAAACGCACGTGGTGCAATTCCTATTCAAATTCTGAACAAGTTTTGTCTCTGAACTGAAATTCTGTACGGCGAGTAACAAAAGTAACATTTTTTCTCCGTTCGTAAAAACACGTGTATTTAAATAGACCTGTGCTAACTAAAAACATATTTAAACCACTGAATATGTTCAGTGGATTTGTTCTAAATAAATGCGGTATTTAATAAGAACAGAAATGAAGCACAATGTATTCTATGGGCAAGAGCTCCTTCGAGCTGAATGATAAACTGAAGATTTTGTTTTATTCCATTCCTGAGATTATCAGTTATACAATGATGCAAAAATATTTGGAGAAAGTTTAAGAATAAGGACAGGATAATGAAATTACTACGCACGTCGAGTGTTTCTGTTCTAATTGAAAGCAACCACTCTAATTTTCTCATCTCTTTTATTTCCAGAGGTACACAAGAAAGCTTTCTGCGGTGTCCGAATACTTCTTTTACCCAGCGTTTTCGATTAGGTGGGAGCATTCCCCCACCTTGTTTCGATCAGTTACTCCATAAAATATGTTGAGTTACTTATTTGGAAGTTATTAAATTTTTATTCTAGCGATGTCGTGAGAAATTGGTAATTTTGTGTGAGGAACAGAACGGAGTCGCAGGAAAAGGTTGATCATTTTAAGTAATATGTTCTTTCTTATATCATACTTTATCAGTTAAGGACGATACCTATTCAGTCAACATAAAAGTTAATAGGCTACATTGTCTTCGATGTAAGCAACCTATCTGAGTACGTTCTGGAGAAGTGGCTGTGTTTCTTCTCCGAGAATAAAAAATAAACTAATAAATAGACTCGGATCAGATGTTCTAGAGACAGCTGTTAAATGTACCATGTTGAAATCACAGCAGACGGAGATATTGATTTTATTGTTTCAAATTTTTATTTTAACCCAGGCAGAGTGAAATCTCGAAATGTGAAAATTTATATTAATTATGAATAAAAGAGTTTTCTTGTATCTTTAACACTGAAGACTTTAAAAGTAATTTTGAAAAGTTAAACGTTGAGTTGATGTATAAATCAGGTTGAAATTTATAAGTGAACATAGGCAGATTGCAGCTTTTTTATTCAGTCAATCCTTTATAACTCAGTTTGCAACAGAACTATATTGTTTCTGCATAAAAATACACACCAAACAAGAAGAAAAGAAAGGCTGTGTCACACATTTGACAAGAATTGCCAAGAAGTAAAAGAAAGGTGAGATATCTTTTTTGATACATCCCTAATATCAAAGATAGAAAGAGAAATGAAAAGAAAAAAAAGATATTTCCTCGTGTACAACGAGGAAAGGAAACATGAATCGGTCAAGTAGTATGATGACACATAATAGAGTGTAAACTCATCTTTTTCTCTATGTCACATGTGGATATCTGAATGTAAGATATATCGACCTATGACCTGTGCGGGCGAGACGAAGAAAACTCACGATTCATTTCATTCTTTTCAATAGAAGGGAAAATATAAATAGAACTGCGACAAATAGTGATTTTCTTTTCTTATTCACGTTATACATAATGTGCACGCCAGGGCTCGAACCAGGTCAGGCTACAAATTTTCGGCCTGCACCAGGCTAAGGCACACCAGGCCTAAACTGAAATAGATTCAGGCAGACCTTTGAAAACACCAGGCGGCCTAGCCTGGTTATTAATGAACGCCGTGCATCACTAAATCCTGATACGGTTGAAGATATCTTGTTAGTTAGATCAGTTCAGAAAATGCTTTAACGAAAACCAAATTTTTTTACTCAGATATATTGTTTAATTATCTGTTACTTTTCTTTCCATCTTATGTTACTATTATTTGTACATTTTGTTTATTAAAAAAATAACCATGCTCCTACAGACCAGGCCAGGGTAGGCCGAGAACAATGGCAGACAGACAGGCAAGGCCCAGGAAATATATCGACAGGCCCAGGCAGATCTAAACATTACAGGCCTGAGGCAGGCAGACCAGGCCTCCAAAGTGTCGGCCTGTTTCGAGCCCTGGTGCACGCACGTTATAGGCTTCATGCGAATAAGACGTATATGTTGACCTTCTTGTCTTTTTTTTATCGATATATCAAATTATCACGTTTCCATTCATCAAATACGAATATTTCACTTCAAATTTTAATTTCAAAAGACTTTTCCAATTGAAAAAGATTTTGAAATGCAATTGTTTCAAACAATATTAATAAATATGTTCTTTGTGTTGAGCCAATCAAATTTGATTTATCTTCCGTATTCTATTTCGTTTTATCTGACAAAGGAAGCTCTCTATATGCAGTTCTGTTTTTTTTTGCTGTGTGTTTTATACCTAAATTATAGTGCTGATTTTTATTTTTATGCAAGTCTATTCGAATATTGATAGTTGCCATAGATTAGATAATTAAGGTACTTTAACGTGTTTAGGCGAACAAAGTCTCAGATTCCAATTTTCATAATTATGCTTACTATTATACCATCTTGTCGAACAGATAATCTTACCTCACGTTAATTACAAAAGATTAACACTGTTGATTTGGTTATTCACAGCTGATATGTATAAAATATACTTACAAAACAAATACTCTCAACAAAAATCTCAGCTCCAGTTCAGCTTCGGTTGCAAAAATCCTCAACTCTCGAGTCAGAGTTGTCCAGCCCTGATCCAATTAGAGACCTGCGCGAGTTAAGAAAACGTAACCTGATCCAACCCGACAACCTCGTGTGCAAAGAAAGCAATCATTAATCAGCTTTGTGGATGGAGTTGTTTTGAAATAGGTATTCAAGTCAAAGAGTATACAAGATTGAAATTATTATTTATATTTTGAAAATTGCGCAGCAAAAGGTTCGACCTAAACCCGACCAGACCCTAGGGTCGTGTCGAGTCGGATTGCAGGTCTCTACATTCACTGAACCAGAGTAACATTGACAGTGCAAGAGGCATACGTAATCGACCACGCTGAATCTGATGGTAATGTTCGAAGAAAAAATCTAATGAAAAGCGTGCAAAACTGGGATTTCTCGGCTTCTGATATATAAGAGATGAACGCAAACAACAGAAGTGAATGACTCATCCGCATTTTATGAAAAATTATTTACCAGTATGGATAC